CGCAGTGGCTGAGTTTTGTTTTCGAAGGGAATATTCCCCACGAGCAACGTCAATGCTTTCATGTTTGCGCGAATCATTTCACACACCAGACTGCTTTATAAACGAGGGTCAGTATAAAGCTGGATTTGCTAAGAAGCTTTGCTAAAAAGGATCGGTACCAGATATTCGTGTTCCTGCTGAACCTCCAGAAGAACGGAAGTGAGTGAAACGTTTTATTAAACTTTATATTAATATATTAATCTTTGCAAATCGCTAGCTGCACGCTTCACAATGAATGCGTCTAAGGTTTACACTCAGTCAGGGTACATTTCGGCATGTTTTCTATGTATGACGTTCTCAATATAATTCATAATTCCACGTTTATACTGAACAACGCGTTATGGTTATTGTGTTATTGTGTTACAAACGGTGTATGCACAGAACAGAGGGGCGGAGTGAGCGCAGCTCATGATCATTTAAAGGCATATGCACTGAAACGGCGTGCTGAAAACAGAGCTGATTTTGACCAGGTAAAATAAGTGTTTTCTTACAATACTAATGAGAATTTTTAATTAAAGTATATTACAAACTTTAAATTTAGACCCTAAAGAATCATATTAGCTTGTACAAAAATGGCATTATATGACCCCTTTAAGTAACATGCTCAACACTGATGGCAACAATGTTGCAGGTGCGATGCACCACATACAAACCGGAATATGTTTATACTTCTCATCCAACCACAATCAAATGCACTCTCTCCGGATGGCGCGATTTATCTGGATAGGTTTTTTTTTTTTTTTTTACGATGACAAGCAGAAATGAAAACAAGGCGAAATGAAATAGCAGTAACGAGGCTATTTTTAAAATGTAAGGAGTAGAAAGTAGCCTACAGATAATTGCGTGAAAATGTAAGGAGTAGAAGTAAAAAGTCGGCTGAAAAATAATTACTCCAGTAAAGTATAGATACCCAAAATGTGTGTTTGGACAGAATACGAGACAGAGTTCTTTATTAAAATCATAAAAGACCAAATACAGGAATACTGGCTTCTAAACCTCAAAGAAATGCCACAATCAAGACCTCGGAGCAGAAATAAGTGAGAAAACACCTCACATTTGCCGCTCACAGTATAAGGGTCTTTCCTTGCCATTAAGGCTTGGATATCACCCTTAGGCCTACGTCTCTTTACATTGATAATAATAATAATAATAATGTCTAGTGCGGTGGCTGTGATTTATATATAAACTTACCAACGTCCGTTGCCATGATTTTTGGAATGACTGATCGCGAGAGGAAAAAAATACGTTTTAGTCGCATAGCATCGTTTAATGGAAACGCCGTCATTTCGCAATCTGTAATGGAAACGCGACAGCATTTAACATAGACTAACTTCTCAGAGTTATAGTGTTCATTATACTAACCATTCAACTCCGGATTGATTATGGATGAATAAGCACCGGCAACAATCCGTCCTCCAACGCATGCTCATGTTTTGATTCAGATCGTGCTCGAAGAGGAGGGGCTATTCGCGTCTCCGTTGTCAGTTTGTGAGAGTGGGAGGGAGGGAGCAAGCTGCGCGCAGCTGTACAATAAAATAAAATTTTACCCATATTAAATAGTTAAAAAATCTGAAAATCAATCTGTGGCGGTCAGCGTTGATATTGTGGCGGGCCGCCACAAATTAATGAATGTATGGAAAACCCTGGCATGGTTATTGAAAAAACTAAAAATTAAAGTTTCTGAAATAAGGCCACAAAACACATACCAAATATGTGTCCACAGGACTTTTGACTAATGGATGTTGTCGCCTAGAGTTTTTGCTTCAAAATGATCTGAAAATCATCCTGCCTAATCATTCACATAAAACAATAGATTGTTTTAAATTGTGAAAAACATTTTTTTGTTTGGAAAGGCAATATGCGTGGAGGCGTGAACGGCCCAACCCCCTCATGTATAATTAGGTGGTTCTCACCTTAGAAGACAAAGACCCGCATAATAATGAGCCTTTCATTCCGGTGTGTCACACAAGATAGAATGCAAGGACTATATATATATACATACACACACACACACACACACATATGTAATCAAAATATAAATGAAAGTCAAAAGCACATTTTTAGTCATACCTGGAAACAAATCCTGTTCAAATAGGTTATATGGGCCATTCTAGAGAATTGGTTCAAAGTTAGAGTTGGAAACATCTTGAAAAGAAAATTGTCTTTTTCCATAAATCTCTTATAAAGTATTATTTTTTAAAGTAGGCCAATACATTTTATCATACATATTTCAAAGTTAAGGATTCATTATTTTGATATAGCCTAGCTTGCATTGGAACAAACACTATAACAGTTGATTAGTTTATTTTTGACAAAACATACTATATATTTAACATATGAGCAGAAACTGTCTAACAAAAGCTTATTTGATGTCTATTTTAGAGTAAAAACTTTAATCTATCCAAAACTAGTCAACGAAATGTTGTCATTACAGACACTATTCTATATCGCGATTAGAACAAATCTCAGTAGGCTATAGCAATATAGTTTGGATGTGTTCATGTAGAAATAACGTTTACTAATGTGGGAGCGAGAGTGAATGAACGCACAGATGCGATGTACATCTGTAAACAACATCACATGCGCATCTGTGCCATTCATTCATTCACACACAGACACGCAATTCATATTTAAACAGTCTTTGTGCAGTTTACAGACACAATTCAATAACGCGATTAGAACAAAGCACTTAAGAATAAACTTACTTCATCAGCTGGATCCGTGCTCCTCGAAATGAAACTATACCAGCACTTCTGAGGTAACTTTTTGGATGTTTTATCCAGTTGATGTGGGCGTTTTCATGGCTTGCCTCAACATTTGCGTTTGAATAGCATGCGCTCTCGGTGGGCGTGGTCACATTAACACGTCATACGCTATAATTAGCTGAAAGGAAAAAGACTGACCTCTCTATTTTCGTACAGATTACATAAACTGAGAATATTTGTTTTTTATATAAATTGCTTCATAACGAAAAATCTTTCGTGCCTGTGTGACAAGTATTTACTTAGTTACAGTTAATTTTCGGACGTGTTTCAGAATGAACTTCAGTAGCTATGTTTCCATCCACACATTTTTATCCGAATTAAGTGATATCGAATGAAAAATGCCTTATGGAAACTGGGCGGAAATGAGTTTTAGTTCATTTCCACCCAGTATTTCCGCTCTGTTTGCGCACACATGGTGGGTGTCAACAAAGACAGATGTAAGTGGACAAAGCAAAAAAATGCTTCAACCAAAGGGTTTCCGTGAGGTGTCTCTGAACCACGATCTCCCAGAACTGTTGGAGCGCTGTCGTTCCCACACCACAGGCCGCCTCCGTTGTCGTCGGGCATTTACGTGCATCTGCATCATCATAGCAATGTGTTGATAGCGTCGTTGTTTTCTTATTATAGCTTGTTATTACATGGCTTGGATAAATTCTAATGTAGAATGCGGTTTATTATTTCTTGATAACAGACCGCTGCTAAGTATAACACACCGTTGCCATGAAAAACAGAGCGTTGCAATGGACGCAGTTCAGAGACGGAACGGACTTTTCTTTAGCGGAAGCAATACAATCGTTTTTAAACCAATACACTTCTTTTTAAATCAATACTTTGTGTCAAATTATTGATTTATTTGGTAGGTAGCCATGTAATAAGCGGGATAATGTATAGCGAGGTGGTTGTTATAGCGAATACAACCCCTTCAGGCTAACAACCGCCTGGCACATTATCCCTTACATATGTCGCCCGCTATCAGCTGGCACATAAGCACTATTAGGCTACAACTTGTGCAATATTGATCATTTGTTGGTAGATGGCGCTATCCATTTTGTCTAGCAAAACTTTGTTTGCAAATGTTTGCTTGAATGTTGTGCGATTCAGTGCAAAAATGAATGGAAACACCTTAAAATGTCTCAAATCAATTCGATATACCAATTTGATCGCAAAACAGCATGTGACGTCATTACGTATAGGTTTTTATTCGCTTTAAAGCCGTTGGATGGAAACACACTTTCACCAGCTTTATTCGCATGAGTTTTTTTTACCGAACTTCAGATAATTCGATTGACAAGTGGATGGAAACTTGGCTACTGACAGAGAGAACGCAAAATTCGCATCATGTTTATTTTTCTTTATTTGACAAAAAGCAGAACACTTTGTTTTTATTGTGAGTATCCACAAAAAAATAGACACTTAACAGGATCTAATGATGTACATCACTTATATGTAAGATCAAAATCAACAGAGTAATTTGAGTCTCTTTTGCACTGATAAGGAAAAAAGTGAGCTCGTCGTGCCGGCGCGATAGCCGACCCTAGGGGGTTAACTGATAAAACAACTTATATATACTATACAGTATATATATATATATATATATATATATATATACTGTATAAATATATATATATATATATATATATATATATATATATATAAAATCAGATATACCGTAAAATCAGTAATATTGTAAAATATAATTAAAATAGCTTTCTTTTTAAAAAAAATTTTATACGACAAAGCTGAATTTTCAGCAACAATTACATGTCACATGATCCTTCAGAAATCATTATAATATGCTGATTTGGTACATAAGAAACATTTATTATTATTATCAATGTTGAAAACAGTTGTGATGCTTAATATTTTGTGGAAACCATGATAATTTATTTTCAGGATTCTTTGATGAATAGAAACTTCCAAAAAGCATGTATAACGTAATTTATGATTGAAAACACCAATAATCTCTTCCATTGTTTAATGAGTACAGCTTGATATTTTATTTATATGCCAGCTTTTAATGTACAATTGAATTGGGTATGCAAATATACCCATTTGTTTGTTATGAGTCATTTATTAACTACATGAAAAGAGTATAAATGCAGAAAGTGACTTGGATTGATTAAAAGTCAAGCAACTTTGTTTGATACTATACATGGATACTCCTTCTTGACGTGCTTCTTTTGCTGTGTTTTTCAGTATTGACTGTGCTGGAATCTTGAAGTTGAGGAACTCTGACATCGAGCTGAGAAAAGGAGAGACTGATATTGGACGAAAAAACACTCGGGTCCGCGTGGTGTTCCGGGTTCACATCCCACAACCTAATGGAAAAGTGGTCTCACTGCAGGCTGCTTCAATTCCAGTGGAGTGCTGTACGTTTTCTACACGAACATATATTTAAGAAAATATTCTCTCTGTAAATTTGACTGTCTTATCTGTATTTGTGATTAAATAGCCCAACGCTCAGCACAGGAGTTACCACAGGTGGAGAAGGCCAGTATTAGCAGCTTCCCAGTGAGTGGAGGAGAGGAAATGGTTATCACTGGCTCCAACTTCTTCCCTGAGTCAAAGGTCATTTTTCTGGAGAAAGGTCCAGGTAAGAATACTCCTACCAATGAGAGGTTCAAGTGCTATTTTAGATGGGAGTTTTAGAAACTTTTTCCTTTTTCTTCATGTAATGTTTTTGCTTATTATATGGCTCTCAGGAATACTTGATCAGTCATTTTTATTTAATTTTTAATAAAAAAAATGCATTTCCTTATATTTCCTTATATTCCCTTATATATTAAATAATTGTCTCAGGGAAACAATTTACATACAGTAGTTACATAGCTATGCCAGTTTCATATCTCTCGAGTCTCTCTCTTGCATACTTTTTCCTCACTTTATACATAATTTAAAGTCAAATCAATATTTCATACCCATTTATTTATTTATTTGGTAAGTAGCTGTGTACTAAGCTGGATAATGTTCAGTCAGCAGGTCATTATATCAAAATTAACCCCTTTTAGAGTGATATTAGATCCCTCCACCTAGTATCGTTACTTGAGTTTGGCTAGTACTAATTCCTTTTAGCAGGTTGCTGCAAGCTCTGCAAGCACAGCTGAGTATGCACTGTAAATGTCTTCATCATTCACTGTGAGCAAATATTACTCCTCACCCATCTTATCCTCGAGGGTCACAGTTATACCTGCACTAATCTCTGTCTTACTGAAGCTAAACCAGCCTTATTGTTAAAAACATCAAGATCAGGTGGTTTATAGTTAAAGTATGTATAGCTTTGGGAAACTGGAGCGACGGGTAAAATGTGAGGGAGTGTCAATTTCTCACTTCTCATTTGAGAGCGGAATTTTATTGTTGCTCGTCAACCCAGAGTGATTTATCTTCACTATATCAGCATCTTGACCTCCCACGATTTCCCTTCTCCTCTGGGGACTGTGTGTGTGTGTCTGTGTTAGTGCAGTTCAGCATGAACACACCTACACACACAAACACCACTGCACTCAAGCAAGCACTCACTCCGTACACGCATAGACATAAACACAAATGCACTCTGCACACTCCTACATCCACACTGTGCTCAGCCCATAAACACACACACACCATAGGTGCAAGAAGATTGTGCGCACAAATACATACCCTCATTACCTTATGCATATAAACTTGCCTGTTTTTCCCTCCTTACTTTCTGTCTCTCTGTCCACGCACACACATGGAGGCTATATTTATGGTTGGCGGTATAGTGGCATGTCACTGATGTTCTGGAGCTCACCTGTAGTCCTCAGCATCTGCTGTAAGGATGATTCAGAGGTCAGCATGGTTGCTCTGGCTGCAGGCACACTGCTGATCGCTCGCTGGATCCAAGACAAAGCAACTAATAGCTTACTGAAATGCCAGACAAACTCTTTGTTTTGTACCATAAGGATATTTTTGTTTCCTTATCTATAACTATTTATTGATTGCACTAAAGTCTGTGTATACAGTATATAATGCATTTAAAACATATTCTTACATTGTGTATAATATTTATTAGAGGTCGACCGATTCATCGGTTTTGCAGATATATCGGACGGTGCAGATATATCGGACGGTGCAGATATATCGGACGGTACCGATAGTTGATTGTTGGAACTATCGTTATCGGCAAAAATCCACACCGATAGTTTTTCCGGGTTGCGTCCGTTGCTGGAGCGGCTGAGAAGTGCGCGCGGTCATTACACAGCACGAGAGCGCTAAGAAGAGACTGCTGGCATTATACAGAGCGAGAGCGGCCTCTAGAGGACAAATAACAAACTATCACTGGCTGAGTTGTTTACGTTAACACGTGAGGCAGCGCGCAGCACAGAGAGCGCTGACACTTCAGATGCGCGTTTAAAACAGACAGCAAAACGGTATGAATACAGAACACTAAAGTACATATTGCAATATCATTATAAAGTAATTCATTTATTGACTAGATGCTGCATTAGCAGAGAAATAACAGCAGTATGTTTGCTGTCGAGTCTGAGAGGAATAACATTAACGGCTACCTCAAGCGATTAAAGCAATGGGACAAAAACACATGCAGACATGACCCAAATGTTTTAAGTCGCAACTGTTACCATCTATTTCCATTAGTTTATATCCGGCTGGTCACTTTCATGCATGTCACTACTGCAGAAGTTGCATATTTAAAGCTAGTGATGTGATTGCTTTCTCAACATTGATACCCAGCAAGCAATTTTCCGTCTAAAAGACGCCTAATAGCCGTCAAAATACAGCCCAGACGTCTAGGCTAAAACAAGGCTAAATTTGGGCTGTCAGTGAAAATCTAATAGACGTCTAACCATAGCCCAATAATAAGACGTCTAACCATAGCCCAAGAATAGACTAGTCATCAATTAGACGGCTATTGAACGACTACATATATACGTCTAATAGACAGTGCATATGGGTCTAGGCTAAAACAAGGCTGAATTTGGGCTGTCAGTGAAAATCTAATAGACGTCTAACCATAGCCCAAGAATAGATTAATCATCAATTAGACGGCTATTAAACGACTACATATACAATAGACAACAAAATGATGGCTAAAGGATTCTTTTCACTCAAATATAACAGGTTCTCATAAATGACAATCCATCCAAACAAATTAAATATAAAGGTTTTATTTGGAAAAAGAACATTAACAACTTACAAAAAGATCAAAACAAAAAAATGACCAAATCAAATATTAAAAATACAATATAAAATGATAAAAAAAAATATGGAACATCAACAACTTAAGATAATAAAATATAAAACTGTTGCTGCTGGGAAGTTGGTCATCACGGCATCTGCCAAATAAGAAAAAAATTAATTTGCACAAGAAAAGCATTGTTGACAGTTTAACCTCAAGTGTGCATGGAATAATACATTTACCTGTACTGTTTATTTATTTATTTTTTGTGTATGTGTTCTGTATAGGTTTTAATGCACATCTGAGCTATTTGCATTATTGATATACTGCCGGATACTTTTTAGAATTGCTCATTTTATATAGCCAATCATTTGTATTTTTATGCTGTATTATAAAATTAATTTGAAAGTTTCAAACTTGAATGAATGAAGGCATTAAGAATGAAACTTCATCTTATTGTGCTTGTACAATTACAAATATTATTCTACTCTATTAGCTTTTGCTCTCTCTGTATGTAACAAGCCATTGTTCAGACAAATTCAATATTATAGTTCAAATCAATGATGGACTTTGTCAAAGATGAGAGCTTTAGTGAGGAAATTATATTTTCATATCATAATGATCTAAAGCTTTCATAACACTTTATAATAGGTTGCACATGTTTCATGTTTACACCTTTGGATTCAGATAATTCGAGTTTAAGGGCACATGAAACATGGGGTTACAGTACACGTGCATGATACACTGTTACCCGCTAAAAATGTCACGATTTCAACAACACATGATAACAAATAATTTAGCTAAAAAATGAGCACATGTCAAAACGAAAACACAGATACTTACAAGACAAAAGTAGGAATGTCTTTTACCTGTTCTCTTCGACCGACCGCTGAATGCAATGCTCTGGCTCGTTTAAAATGTTTCTAAATGGTGGAAATGTTTATCGCGCGATCTTCTTCTTCTTCTTCTTTCGTTTTTTGGCGCGTTGCATTCTTAGTGCATTTATCGCGCGATCGGTGATCTGTACTAACCAAGGGGGTAATCCATCAGCCGGAAGTTGAAGCCTCGCGGGAGCCGCCATTGTAGCAGACCATCACCTGCTGTTAGCATCCCATTGACTCCCATTCATTTTGGCGTCACTTTGACAGCGAATAACTTTACATCTGAGGCGTCCAAAGACTTCATTTGTCCATTATTAATTTCTAAAGAAACATGACAATGTATAAAATGTTCCATTACTTTGTATCTTACGTTATAGCCCCGTAGAAGCCGTTTTTTTAAAAATAGGCTAAAGATTGCGTCATAACCACGGGACTTTCTGTCGCACAATAGAGACATTACCGTATAGACAGGAGGAGAAGCTCGCAGGCAATCTTTAACTGTCTATGAGGCAATCAGGAGGACATGGAGGCACAAAGTCAAGGTAGAAGCCCATAAATAGAGAGTCTATAAAAGCAATGGGACAAAATATTTCAACAACGTTTTTGAGGAATTAGGTGATTCAGATTTATCTTGGCACAGCTACTATAAGATTTTCAACTGCCAGACTGTCGTCACGCTCAGTTTGAGCCTGCGCAGTCGCTCAGACATCAGACAGGAAGTGCAATAATCGGGCTTCAAGTCTTCTCCGTTGAAATCAATGGGCTCGCTCTGTCCATTTCTTTTACTGTCTATAGTACTAACTATCAAGTCTCGCGTTGCCAGTAGTCTTGTCTCAGTAGGGCTGTTGCCATCTAGCGGTTGAGAAATGTAATTGCATTTAAAATTACATGTTCGAATAACATGTAAACAATTTTAAGACTATATTGGCTATACTAATCGCTGGTCTAAATCAGGGCTATAGCCACGCCATTGCCTCGATTTCGCCGTGTGGGCTAAAAGCAGACTGCACATAGCCTGTCCAATTCAAAGCTAAATCGTGACTACAGATCGACCATGTCATGAAATGACACTGGCACCTTGTAGATATTATTACCAATGCGAAGATGATGGGATATCAACCATCATGCATTGCCTGCCCAACAATTAATTAAAACTACAATTAATCAGTTTCGAAACTTTCGACTATAAGTGGGCTACAGATAGCCGGGCTGACTATACGAGCTAGATCGTGGTTACGCACAGCCTACACATAGAACATGGTAAATAAATGAAGCAGAACACTTTGTAATTACAGTTGACTTTGCTAACAAGATGGAATATCTTACATCTCGGAAATTATTTAGAAAAAATTACATGTAACCAGATTCAATGTTATTTAGGCTAGAAGTGGGTTACACATAGCCGGACTATATCGGGTCTACACTCACCGGCCACTTTATTAGGTACCCCATGCTAGTAACGGGTTGGACCCCCTTTTGCCTTCAGAACTGCCTCAATTCTTCGTGGCATAGAATCAACAAGGTGCTGGAAGCATTCCTCAGGGAGTTTGGTCCATA